AGAATACAAACACATGCTCTAATATTATCAAGAAAAAGAAAAAAGATATAAACAGATAATACTAAACCTTGACCGCAAAACGATGAGGTAAAAAAAAAAGTAAAATGAGAAACCTATAGAAATCAACTAGTCTTCTAAAATAACAGAAAATTAAAATATAAAATGGCTTCGAAAGAAAACTTACAATATAAATTGTAACTATCATTCACTTAAGTATCATCATCATCATCGTCATTCTATATGATATAACAAATCAAATATAGTTTAATAAACGCATTTACACACTGAAGAGAAAAAGACTCCGCCTATATTTATTCTTAACATCATCAGTACATATACATATACGTTGATTTATAAATGAATGAAAGAAAGAAAAGAAACAGACAATGTTGATAAAAGCTAGTGAGACTAGTGATGATCATGGGTAATAATTATACACAAAGCGCTGTCATCATTTCAGTTAGAGATGAGAAAAAAAGGAAGAAAGAAAATAATCATCACAATAGGATATATATATATATAGTCACATCCTGTATATATATATATGTAACAGATAATGGAAAAGTAGCGGCTACTCGGATGATGATGATAGACTAGTCAGACATCCATCGGCCAATAGTATGTATGTACACATACATATATATTCTGTTCTTGCCAGTGTTTATTTGTTGATACTAACATTTTTTCTATCGTTCTCCCTACTTTCCTATGACATTGAGAATGATGTTGAAGCAGAACTGAACTATACATAAATACTCTAACATTCCATATTTGAATATATTAAAAGCAATGATAGATTAAAAGTTTTTTTACACATATATATATTTAATCTGCATATAAGTAAATAGTTCACAGTTTTTTCTTTTATAGACAAAAAAAATGATATAATATATATTGTTAAAAGTAAAATATCAATAAATGAAGTCTTGTAGTATTTAAAACTGAATTGATGAGAAAGAAAATTGTATTACATAAGAAGATGTGCAAATAGAAGAACAAGAAGAAGAAGAAAAAAAAGAGAAGACGTGAAAATTACTTCATTCATTTTCCCATGAGAATGAACAATCACTATCCATGCATCAACGATTAAAACAAGGACAAAAAGTTCTATTCAATCTATATCTCGAGGGATTGACATATATAACAAATCATCTAGAATTTACTATTGATTTGTTCTCAAATAACAATTCGAAATTAGAGCATTAATCGTTTTAACTATATATGATGATAATCTAAGATGATAGATATATGAATATTTTCTTGATTAAGAAAGAATTTTATTAGTTACATATTTTGCAAATAGAATAAAACCTTGAAATAATGTTTACTCATTTTTGTACAATTTTTTTCGCTGTTGAGTTACTAATAGATTTTCTTAGACATATAAAACTATGAGTACAAGGTTTTTCTACTATAATTTGTCACTATTCGATAGAATTGATTCTAGATCTTATAAATGATTGATTGCTAAAACATATATAAACTGACATTGATTTGTACAAATTTCAATAAGATAAATGATTCAAAGCTAATAAAACCTTCGAAAAAGATATTTATAATAATAGGATTTTTGGTGGATAAAAAGTAGCCATATATCATCGAATGGAGTGTATTGTGATGAAACTAAATTGATTATTTTCTTCTCGTCTTCGAGTGAAACGCATTTCATCTATTAACAGATACGATGTACGACTCCGATTCAAATAGAAAAGTTTTTATTTTTTAATAAGAAAAATAAAGTTACATCACATGAGAAGACACACTGAAAAAATATTCTATTGAAGATTCTTCATAATTCTTTTAGAAAAAGATTTTGAATTTTCTAAAAAAAATAATTCATAAAAATTTTGTAATGTAATGATTTTATTCTTACACTTCCTCTGCCCTGAAATGATTGATTATCGATTACTACTTCTAAACAACGAAGTTGTTTAATAAGATATTCTTTTATATCATATGCTATTGAACCATCTTGTACAAGAAATAAAATTCGATCAGTATCAACAACATATCTAAAAGAAACAAAGTTGTTTTTTTTTTAATCTATCAAATAAATTTACCTATGTACATCGAATAAAGCATTTCGTAAAGCAGTCCACCATATATCTGCTATTTGTGTTGTTTCTCGTTTTGTTGGCTTACCAGTAACAATTGCAAATATCATTGTTGTTTGTCCTTTTTTCATTGTTGCAAATAATTTATCAGGATCTGTTCCAACTAACGGTCCTTGCTTTGCTGGAGATAGTTGACGTTTACCTTCTTCATCATCATCATCATCTTCATCATCTATCTATAGAAAATATAATATATAAGTCTATAGAAGAAAAAGACTAAATCTTATACCTCCCATTCTTGAGAAAGTTTTTCAACATCAGCATCGGTATAAGTTAATGGATCTTTTTTAATTTTTCTGTTTGATCTATCCTCAGCATGTATAGTATGTAATGTACAGAACAAGACAAAGAAGACAATCAAGTAGTCCGAATGCATTTTGATTTTAAAATAAATTGTTTATTCTACTTAAATATATTTTCAAGTGAATTGATTGCCAACAACATGCCACGCAACGTTACTTAATAGGAGAAGTTCAAGTTGAATTTAAGTAAATATATATCCAATCAAAACGAAAAATCTGGCAAATTTTTTCGTTGATTAATAGTGCCATCTGGGTTTCTTTTAAATTAAGAATTAAATACACTCTTTATTTCAATGTCATATTAGTTTATATTTTAGGATAGATTTGTATTCATGAAAAACCTTTTAGATCAATCTAAAAAATGTCAGGAACGATATAACATGACCTCGATTATATAACAAATATATACATCACTAAGACTGACAGCATAAAACGTCTTAGAAATATTTCAATGTTAATTATTGTTGACAGAAAGTTTTTTTTTAAAACATAAGTGTATACTGTTAATTGAATTTACGATTGTCAAAATATTTCATGCAGTATGTTAATGTATAAAGATTTAGTCTTCAATATTTCTTTCATTTATATAACAAAGAAAACGAATATAAGTAAATCTACATTTAGAAGAAGAAAAAAAAAACCTGAAATCAATAAATGTTGTGCAATCATCTATACTATCAAAATAAAAAATAGTCAACAAAGAAATAAAGAGAAAGATTATATTCATGCAAAAACAAAACAAAAAAACAAACATGAATAGGCTATAAAAAGATTAATGAATATTATTTCGATAAAAAGGAGAAGAAGAAGAATATAAAAAAAAGAAATCTATTGCTTAATATTTTTCTTTTGACACTAAGTTCTATATCATTTGCAATTAATGGGAATGTTGATGGGTATTAAGTGGTTGTGTTAGAAGGAATCTTGTCCCTGAGTTGATTAAATGACAAGAATGTAAGAGAACATATGCACGTCATTCATACATAATCGTTTTCATACAAAACAAGGTCATTAATGTCTATCGCACTTCTTCATCATCACTTTCCCATCGATAGTTCATTCCATTTGTATAAACAATTATGTTCATCAATAGTGTAATTATGTAAAGCCAGAAAGAAGAAGAAGAAGAAAAAGAAAAAGAAAACAAAAGAAATTTCTATCACCGGATAGCTTTGTTTAATATTGTTTTTTCTTTCTGTGAAAGACTAAACGCTTGAACTATTTGGTGGAACACGTTGAAATCCCGATTTATTCGTTTTCTTTGGCATATGATAAGTACAATACCATATAATTGTACTAACAACAAGAACGCTTATAACTGTAATACCTACTAATGATAATGATATCCATTTTAATCTTTTATTTCTGTTAACTAATTGATCTTGTTCATCTTTGTTATCGGTTATTACTTGAGATTTATGTATTGGTGATCGTGCATTTATAGTTTGATCATCATCATCATTTGCTGATATTTCATTGGGATCACTTGATTTATTGGTTTTGAATGAACCCTAAGAAGAAAATAAATTAAAAATTTTTGAGAAAAATACTGTTCTTATCTTAAAAACTAACTAGACTTTATATGAAAACTTGTAAGGACACAAGGGGTAAAGTTAAAGGAAAAAATAACAAAAACGATGTATGAAGGAAGGGGAACGAAAACAACTATAACAAACAAAAAGATCACCAATGTGGTCCATTGTAGGAAAATGATGGATTATTCTGATCGAAATGTTTTCGAGTTTGTTTCTTTCCCTTTCTCGTTCGCTTTCTATCCACGAAATGTGCTCGTGGTGATGATGATGATAATAACTGTATTGGCTGAATAATAATCACCTGTGTTTCTGCATATGATGAACCAATTGAAGCATCATTATTATTATTATCATGTGTTTCCGGATTATGATAAACAGGTGGTGGATATCGAGGATAATAAGATGGCGAATGTTGATTTATTCTACGATCATTTGTTGGATAAAATGATCCTGGTGGTGGTGGTATATCATTAATACTTCCATCAATTGATGGAATTATTTGTTGATTTATTTTATTTATTTGTAATGGTATACGAAAATTTTTAACAACATCACATTCACTTAATTGACAACGTTCTTGTTGAGTATTTTGACATAAATCTATATAAGATTGTTCCGGTTTTTTCTTTAATAGATTTAAAATAAAATCATAAACACAATCACAAAATTCAGCTTGTGGTGGAATAATAATCATTGATGGATTTAATTTTTGTTGTTTTTGTAAATAACGTGCTAGAATGCATTTTGATGATGGATATAATTGATCAAGAATAATTTTTGATAAATCAAAACGTGTTAAATAATCTAAATGATCAAATGAATGTTCAGATAAATAACGAACATTTTGTCCAAGTGTAAAGAAACGTGTACGTGCGACATGTTGAAATGCATAATCTACAAAACAAAAAACAAGAAAAATTCAAATAAACAAAAATTTAATTTATTTGTACCTTTTATTGTTTCAGCATCGAGTTCAATTGTTTCAAGATTTGGTAAATATTGAAAACCATCAAAAGATCGATTATCAAAAAAAAATTTGGGTCGAACTAAATTAATACCATATAAATTTTGATAATGCATAAATGTTGTTGCATTGATTTTTCTTGGTTCATGTGCTTCGATAATCATTGAATTAACAGGATAATTAGGAAATTCTTCACTTGATACAATTTCAGCCATTTTAGTAAATTTAGCTGAACGAATTTTACCATTAAAATATCTTCGTAATGTATTATTACTTCGTGGTGTACAACCTTCAAGAGATAAACTACCAATTTTTGTATTATTAAATATTTCTTCAAATGAATATGGTTCTAATGATGAACTATGTAAAGACATTTGATCAACAGTTAATTGTGTAAATGCCATAGGTGCAAATTGAATATGTCCACTAGCTGTTAATTCTAATGATAGACTTGTTGGATAATCAGATTTATCACCAAATAATTGATAAAATGAATAATCTTCAAAATATAATTGATGATAATCTTGAAATGTTAATATAATTTTAATTGTTATTTGTTTTCGTCTACCAATTGATGTCGATGGTGAATATGAACGAGGAAATAAATAAGATAGTTGATTAATAAACATTGCACTTATATTAAATTCTCGTGTATGAAATGTTAAATGAAATGAATCAAATGAACGTGGATTTTCTAATGTTGTATTTGTTAATTGTATTGTATGATTTAGTGGTGTATAATAATATGTACAACTTAATTGTTCAGTTTCATTATTTGATGATGAATGACATTCACAAGACATATTTTCTAATATATCACATGGTTTTGATGTGACAATTATTATTATTGAAACAATAATGAGAATAATATGATAAGTTATGTAAGCCATTTCTTTAAGTAGTGACTAGAATCGATCTAGAACAAAAAAAAAGATCAAAAGAAAGAATAATGAATATATACATATCTGTTGATCGTTGACTTGTCTATATATGTACGTGATGAAACGTTATTATTACTCTGTTACTTGTTATCTACATACTTAGAATGCAAATACTCACCCATTTTATATTAGAGTAAATGAATGATAAATAACTTGACTATGATGAGAAGGAAAAAAATCTTATAGTTAAGTATTTACATATTTCTACATAATTGTTGTTCTATCTTAAATAATATAAGTTGTCTATTTGATATCGTCTCCTTTTTTCTTCTTCTCCTCATGCAATTATTGACCATTGATCATTCGGAGGTCTATGATGAATATTGCATCTCTTCCGTTAGTAATCGAATATGAGTATGGGAGGGCATATAAGATGGTGTGATATGATAGTTATAAAACAGAGACAAAAAAAATTGATATCATTCATTTGAATACTTCACTGTAGGGTATAAAAAAACATTTAATATCGATAATTATTCTTCGTTTTCAATGTCAACGATTATCATCTTAGTAATATTTGTACGGTATATAAATATATCTACGTATCTATATTAATTGATCTTAAAAATAGTCAAGCATAATAAATACACTAAGAAGAAAAAAATGAGAATTATATAATCAGTAGGAGGAGGAGGAGTGAGATAACCTTGTTATACAAGGATAATATATTTATCACTTTAACTATAAGAAACAAAATAGAGTTAAATTAAGTTTTCCTATGTCTCTCTCTCTCTTTTTATTACCCTGTTTGTACATAATAAATTATAAAATATTTCCTTCTTAAAATGTTAACATAACCATTAGTTTTCTATAAGAGAACTATAACCTATTGGCAAAAAAAGGTTGAGTAGTTATTATGTATAATATTAATGGAATGATAACAGATTGGTGTCAACAGTAATGTCTTCTCATCTTACAGTCAAAAGAAGAAGAATAAAAAGGCAAAAATATACATATACTTAAACAACTGCTGCGTGCCTGTAACCTATCCAAGGCTATTTTATTGATAAAAGAAATTGACTTTTGTTGTTTCATTTCGTTAAAATAATAGTACCACTATATCATAAAAACGACAAATTTACATATTTGATAAACATAAGACAATCTATTCGTGTTGGTCTATATAGATATTTATCCTTGACAATGATATCTTAGTCTAAACGAACTTCTGTCTAAACGATAATGATAATGCCAATTTTTTTTCTTCTTCTTCTTTCTCGTCATTATCATTTATCCTTGAACGAATGTCTCATATGTGTAATTTCCATTTATATTCTATCATAAAAAACATGTCTATACATTCTTACGTGTACAAGGTAACATTCTAGTTATAAAAATAGCAGTGTACTATCAATACTTCTTATTCATTATATTTTAAATATTGTAATAGAGAATTGCCCTTGAAAGATAACAATGTATAAAAGAAAAAAAGGTTTTTTTGACTGACTTTTATTAGTTATGTTCTTTGCAATTATATAATTAATCATTATTAACCGTATTAATAATAGAAAACTATCTATCAATTCTTATCGGTTAATTCAATTAAATAAAAAGAAAACGGATAGTTATCGTTGTATGTTTATTCTTTCTAATTAAAAAAAAAATACTGTACTACATCCGATCAACTTACGTTTATATTGTATTATATTACACAATGTAACTGATACTTACTTTCTTTTAAAAACTAAGTACTAATTATAATAACAATACCTTCTTATTCATATCTGTTTTATAAGTACATATTCTAACAATGTATATACGATAAAAACGTCCTTATATATATATATATATGTGTGTACAGCAGTAATAGAAAATGAGAAGAAAGAGCAAACCACAAAGAGCAACCAAAAAAGCCGCATATTATCTTTTATCTTATACTACTTATTCTATCATACAAAAGTCAATGACTGGTATTGTAATGGAAATATAAATATATTACGTTGATGTAAACAATTTAGATCCAAATCATCTCTATTCATTTATAAAGACCTTTCAAGATTGTTTCAATAGAATCAATATTATTTATATATATATAGATATATGTATGGAGAGCAAACAGGTTTTTATTGTTTATTAAAAAAGAACCAAAAGAAATGTTAATCTACAGAAAAAAGAATTGACCTATTTATATATTTTTATCCAGCTTTTTTTCGATCAAATGGATCACGCCATACAGGCAAACCTAAATAAATCGATATATACATATAGGTAGAATAAAAAATAGAGTTTTTTTACCAGCTGGTTGTGTGTCTTCAGGATTAATTCCAGCTCGATTCACTTTTTGAATGCTACCTAAAAAAAGAAAATAGTTAATATTATCTATATAGATTTTCACAAAAAAAAGAGTACTAACGATATCGATCAATATTCAGATAAGGATAGACAAATACAAGACCTAATCCCCCGATAATAGCTGTTACAGTTGCAATTACTGCAACTCTTGAAGCAATTCCACCACTTTGTGCAGCACTCCATTTTGATGGATTCAGACGAAGATCAGGTCGAGGTAATCGTTTCGTTGGTTGTTCAGAATTCATAATAGAGAAGAAAGGAAAATCTAAAATATAATTTATTTTTTATCTGTTCCATCAAAACCAAAATAAAGATTAAACATTTTTTCTAACTGTCTATCTTGTAAATATTGATGAAATTGTCCAAAATCTCCTTTACCAGTATTGTCAAGAAGATAATTAAGTTCTTGAAATTGATTAAAACGTAAATTATTTTCATTTACATCTCCTAAATATTCTTTTTCTTTCATTTGTAATCGTTTCCATGTTAAATTACGTAAACGTGTCCAATATTCATCAACATCAGATTCTTGTCCTTCAACACATATGATACCTGGTTTTCCAGGCAATGAAAAACCATTTAAATGTAATTCATGTGCCCAATTAACTATATTTTTTCGTTTTTCTGTATTATATATATGATGACTATATATCCAAAGACGAGAGAATTTTTTTTTCTTTATTATTTGTTCATTTGTGGTTTTCATTGTTGTATCATTCGAGACAAGAAAAAGATCTTGATGATCTTGAATCCAAGATAAAAATTCCATTATATAAGGCTCTTGATCTGATGTTTTATCATTAAGAAATTTTTTTACAGATTCATTAAATTTTTCATGACATTCACGTGATAAATATGTACGTAAATGAATATCAACAGGTAATTCAGGATAATGAAGTGGATAGATAAATTGAAGTTCAATAGTTGTCTAGAGAGAATTAAAAAGAAGAAGAAGAAGAAGAAATTCTTTTCCTAATATTATTACCTTAATATCATTTAAATGTAGTTTAAGAATAAAACAAAGATTTTTTTGAAGATTATCAGATTTTCCATCAAGATATTCTTTTGCTTCATTAAATGCTTCTATATCATCAAGATAGAATTCATCTGATGATGGATAACAACAACGTAATAATTCAATTTCATTTAATTGTTGTTCAATACATGAACGCATTGAAGCCATTACAATTTTTTTATCAACAATAAGGAAATAAAAAGAAAAAAGTCATTGTTTCTCTTTTTAATGTCACAACAAGATCAAAAAAACAACAATACAAAAATCGTTAACTATGTTTTTTTTCTTTTTAAATAATAAAGCAGAACTAACTAGATAGATTAAAACAACAACAATACGCAAGCAAACTTTGTTTTTTTTTAAATTCAATGTTCTAGTAAATGAAAACAGAAAAGAAAAGAAATATGATCAAAACATATTGTTGATGACGTTTATCACAATCGACAGATCATTTAATTAAAAAGCTAAAAATAAAAACAAAATTTTGTAAAATAATTTTAACTTTCAATTTAAATCGTACCTGTATGGATAACCTTGATATTTAGCTCGAAATACCGAAAGTAAGAAGCTGAAGAAGAAAACTACCATTAGAATACCAAGAACAGCAGTCATTGCTAAAAGAAAAAAACAAATGAAAATGAAAATTTATAAATTTGATCAAATTACCTTTTCGTTTGCCAGTATAACCGGTGAGTTTAGGTGCTTCATTCAACAAGATCATACCACCACAAACACCAAAATGTAAAAAAATAAAGCAAAAATAAAAGTTAAGGTAAATAAAAGAGAAAATTTATATATTTGATTTTTCCTAAAAAAAAATTCATCAATATGAAAAAGGATATAGAGTGCGAAGACCTAGAAGAAAAAACAAATTAATAATAATTAAAACTATCTTTCAAAATTCCTTACGACGTATGTTTCAGCAATAAATTGATAACCGGAACTTCCACTGAATAAACCCTATTTACATATCAAAAAAGGAAATTATTTCAATCTTTTTTTTTCGAAAATAAATACTTACAATTTGACCTGTTTGAGGATTACGATGAAGAAAAGGTGAACCTCGTATACTATTCCAAATTTGTCCAGAAATACAAATTAAAATAGCGAGCTAAATAGAAAATTCTATCCATACATTTCTCTTTTGAAATATAAATTATGACTTACAATTATAAACATTCCCCAAACAACTGGATTATAAAGAAATTCAAGACTATTTCGTTTAATATAAAGAAGACCACCGATCATTGTTACAAGTAATACGACTAATAAAAATCCGGAATAATTTGGTGGACGAAATACATGAATCTAAAGAATACATATTTTTTTTATTGTTTAGTAAATATATATTAAGTTTACATGAACATCAGCACGATCATGAATCCATTTAGCTTGTGCTTCAGCAGAAAATCCTGAACTAAAAAGAATAAAATAAATTAAACGAAAATTCTTTCGTATTATAATCTGAACTTACCGACTAATATCCATAAAATCGTTCTTTTTTGGTTTCATTTTAGGTGGAAAATGAATAAATACTGGTGCTGAATTTAATTTTAACTAAATAAACAAAATATCACATATAAATATATGTTCAATCAACACTCTTTAACTTACATATTGAAATACATCTTGTCCATCATCAAAATCTACCATAGCGAAAAAGAGTTTATTTGTAAATGCACTTGAATAACGATAACTTTGGGCAACGATTTGAAATTCATCCTGAGCTTGTCTTTGTAGGAAAAAAAACTTATAAGAACAGAAATATATATATATAATTAAACATACTTGCAGATACCACATGATCTTGATGGCGAAAGTGCAGTAAGCATGATAATCATGGAATAATTTCGTGGTGCTGTTTTAACATAATGTTTAAAACGTTCACTATTTAAACGGATAATCGGTTTTTTAAGTGACCAGTCTGTTAATTGTTGAATTTTTTCCGAAAGAACATCCTATTTTAATCAAAAAACCAATATATAGAGATGTAAAAATGAAAATGATTTATTTGAATACGAACTTCTTTGCTAAGAACATTTGGTAATGTACAAATGCAAATAAAAAATAACCAAATGAATTGCTTCATTGGAATGATAGTAGATTAGAGATGGAAATCTAATTTTAGTATTTGACAAAAAAGTAATGCGACGTCCGTTGCAGTTTCCTATTGGTTTTTCGAAATGATCAAATAAGAATTAAATTAAACAATTTCTAAATAATTTTTTTACAAATCTTCAAAAAAGATAATATTTAAAATTATATCGAAGAATAATAAAATGATTCACACTTTTTATTAAACAAAATAAATTTCATAGATGGCATTGATAGTCATTTGGAAAATACATATATATATATCTGCCTCAATTCAATCAAATTGTGCAAACTTGAATTTTATATAATGCCTGGAAGCTTTCAATTGTTTATATATTCAAAAGAAGAAAACTAATGGTTACAAATAGTGAGACAAGTAACGATAACAATTTTATTTAGTTACTTGTCTTACTGAAATGGCTTTAAAAAAAGATTTAATTATTTTTATGATTAGTAATTAAAGTCGATGATGGTAGAACATTAGTTAATATTGTTCTACTAGCAAATGTTTTCTGTACTGTTAAACGATGATTTTGTGATGAACAAGTTGATTTTCGTGTGAGTTTTGATGCTTCATTAGTAGTAAAAGTGCTTGACATTTGAAATGCACGTAATGGCTGTGTAGCTGGAGATATAGTTATGGAAGGAACTTTACGAATCGTATTTTTAGGTTTATTTGATGGTATACGACGATTTACTGTTGTTTGTATTAATGCACTTGGAGAAAATGTTTGAATATCTTCTGTATCTTTTTCATTTGAAAGTTGTCGAGATACTCCACAACGTTGTATATTTCGACTAAATACATTGTTTGTTGTTGGTGGTGATCGTAGACTCTTCATAGATGATGCTCGCTTCATGATTGCCTTAGTTTTCTCTTGATCGATTGTATCATTATTTGAAAACTTGTTAGAATTTAATGATCGTGGATAATTAGAAGTCTGGGTTTTATATGTTTGTTGATCAGTAGAATTAACGGACTCACTAATATGTGTTTGACTTTCAATATCTTCATCCAATGTTACAGAATCAGATAATAATACTGGTGATATAATGTCTCCATTAGCAAAATTTGATAACGGATAAATATCATCGGATAGCTATAATTAATTAAAATTTTGATAGTAATGTCATATATATATATACAAGAAAGTGCAAGCGTCTAACTATATTAATCATGTTAATCAGCATTATTATGAAGAGAAAAGTTATGTGTGTATTTTTTTTGTTATATTAATTTCTTTTTTGACATATCGGTCGTAGATACAAAAAAAATATAATGTCATAAACTTCTATAAACAAGAAACGAAATAAATAATATATAAAAACGAAAAACCAATGAAACAAAACGGAAAAGATTTGAATAACGTTATAGATCACTGTTTGATAGAAGAAGATTAATTGAATTCATGCATAATATCATAATAGTAGAAATTATATAATGAAAAAGTTGACTATCTTCTTAAACTAAGAACAATATAAACAAAAAAACTAAATAAACATTGATGATTATATGTGATTTTTATTTGTCAGCTTTTTGGTGATACATTTACTAATGTTGAACGCCAAAGTTGATGAAAAAAATTCGTATACCAATTTGTTAACTACATAGAATTAGTAGAAGCAAATGTTATATTAGATTGTTAGTAAGCTATGATAAATTTTTGTTTACCTCCGATGTACTTTGTGTTGAAGATTTATTTTCCTTATCAACTTCTTTTTCTATATGTTCATATTTATTAGTTTTCGGTGATAATTGATCATTTGAAAAATCAGCTAAATGTCGCATTGGTGTTGATACATAATATGTTGATTGGTTTTCACAAACTGATACAGCATTTGGTGTTGGTACAATTGTAGATTCAGTTATTGAACAATCCATTGTTGTATCTTCAGGTGTTGTCGAAATAAAAACATCATTCTAAATAGCAAGATTTAGTTTATTACTAAAACTATTGAATAGAACAAAAGAAGGAATGACCGGACAAAGCGTCGCAGGCGTATGGTGAGGGCGAAAGTGAATGTGACGATTAGGGTACGGCGGTTCCAAAAAAATGGAACCGCATTTTAAGCCCAATTGCGGGTAATTTTTGGAACCGCCGTACTCTACCTCAGTGAGGATGTGTCGAATATCCACATCAAAGATTTACTAGTAATTCGTTTTGATCCCTAAAATAAGCTGCGACGTTCTGTCCTAGCGTCAAAGAAAGAAATTTTGAAAGACAATTTACTGTTTCTTCTTGTAATTTATTTTTTGTACATGTTTCAAGTATATTAAATGGTCGTTTAGTAAGCACATTTTTAACTGTTGGTGAATGGCCACGTTTTCGTGGTGGTGCAGTATTTGATAATAAATTTTGAATAGTTTGTTCTTGTTGTTCATCATAAGCAATATCTCGTGATGATGAAAAACGATCTCGTGATATTCGATTTATTTTACAACGTTGTCGAGATGTTATTGGTGTTAATGGAACATTTAAATGATCACGAAATATATTTGTGTCGGTACAATATGAATTCGGTATATTACGTAATGAACGTGATGGTGTTTGTGAAATTCGTTGTTGTTGTTGTTTCGGTAATAATTGATTTCGGCGACGTTGTTCAAGATTTTGCATATGTGAAAGACGAAGTTTATCAATAAATTGCCCAAGTGTTGTTAAACAAGTTTCAAGTGATAAATCTCGTAAACAAAAATAATTTGATAAATCTTTTTCACCATTTTTTATTTGTTGTTCATAATCAAATAATTTTGTAAATAAAATTTCTAAATCATTAAGTGTTGTTTTAATATGTTCAGGTAAAAAAATTAATTCATCTTCAAATTTATTCAATGAATTATTTAATTGTTTATAACGTGTATATAATAAACGAATATCAACATAAATTGGAATATATTTTATTGATGAAAGATCTTTTAGTTTTAATAAAATTTGATTATCAAATATATTTAATAATGCTGGATATTGTTCTTCAAATAATTGACAAAGTAAATGTGATATTGTTGTATTTTGTTTCAATGTACGTGTTGATAAAACAGATAAAATTGAATCAAAATGAAGACCAGGTATTGTTTTACCGGCAATACTATTATAAAGTAAACATAATAAATGAAGTATACCTGGTAATTGTTCATTATTTAATATAACTTGTATACATTCAAGAAGATCATTTATATGTTTATTCATACGTTCAAGTTGTGTTGGTGCTTCTTCACGAAATTTTAAATAGATTAATTTAAATTCATAAGCTGGTACACGAACAAGTTTAACAAAAAATTGTTCTATAAGAACTAAACCATGTGTTGAACCTTGATGTGCTAATACTCGTGCTTTATCTTCGGGTCGTTTATCAAATTGTTTATTCAAAGCAGTAACTGCATCAAGCCTAAATATATTTAAAAACAAAAGGAGCAAAGTTAATTTTTTGGTAAAGTATTATTTCGAATTAGATCAATGGGTATGGATTAAGTTACATACTCTCGAAAATAAATAATTAAGAAGGTCAATTGTAAGCAAAGAAATCTTAATAGAGAAACAAATGTTTTCATTGAGTTCAAAGAATAAACTACTAAATAAAGGTCAAGTAAAGTTGGTCTTTTTTTTACTAATAAAAATATTTTGAATAAATAAACAAAAATTTTATTTACCATTCAGATTTCATATGTGTTTCATCAATAGCTCGAATAACATGATCAATACTAGCATCATCATCATAATCTTTTTTCACTAATTGAAGTAAATGACGCATTGGTACATCATAGAGCATTTTCGATGTTGCATCCAGTAAAACAAATGATAATAATCCTTCGTCATTAATACCACCTATAGGACTTGTTGATACACTTGCTCGTCGATAACGAGATGATAATAAAGATGTTGAATCACCAAAATGTTGATCAAATACAGTTTGTTTTATACGAAGATTTGGTAAAATACGTCGTGTCCAAATATTATTACCTGACATAAGCATAGATGGAATAGAACGGGCTTGTATTTCAGTTATATTTGCTCGATTAATAACAAGATTAACTTCTTGATGTGGAAGTGATATTTTATAATTGTTAATCATATTATTATTATTAAATATAGGCGGAACAGGCGGCGGCGGAGGAGGAGACGGTGGTAATCCAAGTAAACCATCAGAAGGCGACTGGCTTAATGATTCTAAGATATGAAAATAAAAGATTATTTAAATAAATTATATTAAAAATACTAACCATGTATGAAAACGTCATCGGTTTCTGAACCGTATTGAATAGTAGTCGTCATCGGAGTAGTCAACATTAGACTTCGCCGTCACTCTCTCACGCAACACAAAAAATAAACTGCTTAACAATCTAAAATAGATTTACTCGATAACACTGATCTGATTTACTTTTATTTAATATAAGAAATGTGATGTGTTTCGTCGTTTTAGTTTAGTTTAATGAATAGTAAAACTTATATAAAATGAGAAAAATGGATGAATCATCAAGTATTTATGTACATATCGAAAGAATGGACATAGAGAGAGTAGTCGATAAATAAAACAAAGATTACATTGTTTTAGAAGAAAAAGAGAGAGAATAACAACTAGTATATACATAGTTAAATAAGTGGACTAAATATATTTTAGTCAACTACATTCTATATATATCTTAATCGTCCATGCAATGAATAAAAGAATGAATAAAGAAGAGATACATTGACAAATAACAAGAATAACAAAGAACAAACAACTTTGTTTCGAGTATTATTTTACTGAAAAGAAGGTTATTTATATTATGTTGACTCAAATATAAATGAAATGTATTTCTTTTTAAATGGATGGAAATTAAAATCACTTACTATATTTATTTATAGTTCTTCAAATATTTTTAGATATTGTTCTACTTTTAATTCCATTGTCTTTTCATTATTTCTAAATATGCTTTTTGCATCTGAAACTCTATTCATAAGTGTTTTATATAGACACTTTGATGATCTAATAGTAATTGTTCGTAGACAAACAATCAATAATAGAATCCAGAAGGCATTGCATTGTATATACAGTTAAACTTCACACAATGAACACCTCCTTATTACGAACGGTCTCAAGTCTGACAAAGCAATTTTTGTTGGAAATGCATCTCTCGGATATGAACATTTTTTTGTGATTACGTTTGCTATGCTATAGCTTCCTTAATATGAATTTGTTCTTTCGACCTCATCTATATCTTATACACTACGACAAAGTGCATTATTTTAAGTGATTAGACTACTGTGTATATCCAATAAAGAATGATATCACGTCACTAGCTTACTGTGGAAGAAAAACACTCGACTCTGTGTCAAATATTTAAATGATTATAAAACAAATCAAACTGTTAAACAGAAATCTAGAGTTGTAAATGTATGAAAGGAATACCTATTTCAGGGTCAATATTACGAGAGACGGCGGGTGTGTGTTTTTTTCTTACCGGCATCCATACACACACCTACCAATATTGTAGACAGTTATAATACAAATAATTGTTCGATAGAAGTAATAATGCCTAGAGTCATAATATTTGTAGAAAAAAAAATTATTCTCATGATTTTAACTATACATGTACAAAATGCTTAATATTTACAAAATAAAAATGAGATTTTCTCACGATTCTGATACTTGTTCATCGTATTCGAAAGGTACGTTTTTGTAGTAGAAGTAATATGTCAAACTTCGTCCTCAATTTCCATATACAATTGAATGTTCAATACTTAATTGCATTGCATTGAACTATTTGACAAACATGACCTTCATTTCTAATTTAAAAAAAAGACTAATTTTAACATTCATTTTTTATCGATTCAATATTCATTTTAAAATAACGGTAAATATAAAAATCATCTATACATATATAACATTTGCCTTCAAAATTTGTATATGTTCATACTCATATAAGATATGTACTTACATTGAACATGTGACAAAAAATTTTTTTTTCTTGTTCACAATTTTACGAAACAAAGAAAGATGGTCAAATATATATATATATATACGTTTACATAGTACAATATCCGTTATTAAAAGAAAAGAACAGACATGTTCTATACTTATATTTAAATAGCTTACCATTTTTTGGTAAGAATATCAAGAAACAATCATATGATGTAATCAAATCTTAAGTAAAAGATAATGAGTATTACTTAGAAAAAAGAAAGAATTCCAATGCTCTCTTTGTTCAGTGTCATTTATGTTGATTTGATCGAATAGTTAAATGAATGAACAAGGACATTTTGTATTCATATTACAAAAAATTCAAAAAGAACGTGACATTGAAATATATACTTTAAAAACGCTTTCTCATTTTAGCAAAAAAAAGAAAAAGAAACTATTTTTTATACCTTATGCTAATATTTTATTACTAAATATGTTCAAATTCAACTTAAGCTCATTATAAAATAAATATTATTCGTCTTTAAATTTTAATAAAACTAGGAATGAATAGTCTGTTCTTATAATTTTGTCCACAATTACAATAAATTAATCATTAAATGTTGATGTTTAATTAGCCAGACGAAATGAATAATAATTAGAATAACCTAGTCCAAATTTAATAATTTTGAAAAGAATAAATTATGACATTCTTATGACCTAGTCTAACAAAAATATTTAATAAGTCATATGAAAAGTAATCATTTCTAAAAATATCACCTTGCATTATAAATTATTCAATATGAATATAGAATAAAAGTACTCTAAGTAATTCGATGAGAGAGAGAGAGAAAGACTCATTGAGTAAATTATAGTACTCACTATTTATTTGGTTATTTCTTAATCGATAAATGTAGAGATCGGTTAAAATGCATAACACATCACCTTTGATGTAAATACAGATAATCTAATCATGCTGCATGAAGTCTTCTCTTTAATCAATGAATAGTTGTAGTAAATAGGTCACCGCGTTCGAATATTTAATTTTTTTTAAATAATTCATTTGAACAAGTTCATATTTTTCAATGATATATGAGATCACAATGATACATCTTTCAAGAAAAGAACGCACTTTCTAGATGACGTAATTGCCGAGAAAGAAATTGATATACTAGGGCGAAAACGTCATCACGATACGCCCGGGGAAGCCGATAATATGTGACAGTAATGAGGATGTGGAATAAACTTATTTAAAATGAAATTTTTTTTATAACAGTGTCAATTCATTATAACAGCTAAAATTTTCTTTTTATTTCCTGGTTATTCACATATTTATCAAGCATAAAAAATTGTAATCTTTGCTTGAATTTTGACACAAAAAAACACACATAGTAAAATGATAGTGATATTTTAGCTAAAAAATAATTAATATTATTTTATTTGATATTCTAGACATTCTTAGGGCTCATATTTTTCTAGATGACGTATAACAAGTGTTTATAAACTATGTCATTTTTGAAATTAAATACATAATGTATAGATGTTTATATTCTCAACTAACTGGCTAAGACTAATATGGAATAATATTCTTAGCAAAAAAAGAAACACTGTTAATTACAAAGGGTAAGTATGATATCTAAGGTCATTGCTATTGCTTAAATGACCTTATAAATTATCTTAAAAGACATCAGTTACTGACATAATAATAATCTATCTAGGATAGACTATTGTATATTTCTGTCTATTTACCAGACAGAATAACTTTTTATGTTACATTTATGTCATCACATAAAACATTAAGTGTATCGTATAAAATTCAAGCTTCTCATAATCTTTGTATTGACTCGATATATATATATATATATTTGGAAAGAAATCCATCTCAAGAATTAGTCATTCGTTATGTACTACTTGATAATTTCTTTAAAACATCATTTCCAGGAGAAAAACAATTTCTATAGCAACTACTTTTATGAATACTATTAAGTTAAACACGCCTTGTATTTAATAAACGAAAAATAAAACCTTATAAATATTCATAATAATTTTTAAAATGATTATATAACTATTGTTTTTTATTAAAAATAAACTATTTTTAAGTATAAAAAGTATTAAGAGGCTTCGAGGGTTCTACTTCCGATTTTCTATTTATAGAAAATAAGTTCATTCTTTATGCTAGAATTATTTTTTGAACTTCTTTTAAGAAATAGTATCGAAATTTATATAGGTTTTTCTCTTTCATAATATATATTCTTCTGTTATAATTAATAGTTTAGTTTAACTAGATCAAATAAGTACATTTATAGTTGACTTAAATCTTGAGTATCTATTCAAAATAATATACGCATGACTTTTTCAAAACATGTAATTTAAATATCATAACTATATAATTTTTTTAGATATAATTATATAGTTAAAAATAAGAATCAAGGATATTAATCATAGTGAGTAAGCAAATGAATAGATATTATTCGTTAAACTCGATAACCAAACAAGAATCGATGATGAAAAAAAAATAATTCCGTTCATATGTTTAATTATGTAAAAAAAAATGTATCATTTTCTTTTTTTTGTTTTTTTTAAAAAATAGTTCTTTTGTTTTTATTATTTAGTTTCAATTTATGTCTGCTGACTCTCATTTGTACTTCATCATCAAGAAAAAGAGTTTCAGTAGGCGTGTAATGTTGTTTTTTTCTTTTCTTTTTTTATCGTATAAAACATTTTTCTTTTCTTCGCCCTATAATACTTAGCAAGCGCCACGACAACCCATTCTTACCAGCCGTGTACCATATAAAAGTACGATAATATTTTTGAATAAAGTATGTACCAAATAAATAGAGTTCGAATCGAATATATTTCAATAGACGATATTAAATTGACATTTATATTAGTTTTTTTCAATAGATATTATTCAAATAATTTTCGTATTTGTCTCGGTGCAAAAAAAAATATTATTCGATCGTTAGATAATAACATATATATGTTTACGTATACATGACTATCCTTTTACGAATTTATTAGTAATATATAGATCAACCATAATCATTTGTTATTTTTCATATTTAGGTTAATGTACCTTAAGTACAGTATTCTATGCTCATAGATTAGTCTTCTTTTACATTTAAATAAGATATAAGGCATTGAAAAAAAAGTGTTGATATTTAATTGTTCTTAACAAAGTTACATGAATGAACAAGAAAATACTCTCATAGAAACTATGTGAATATAATGTGATAGCAACACATGAACTTTGCCGTCGTGCCGCTCTTAATACATCAATGTTCCCGTCCTTTTTTTCCTTCCTCTAATATTTGTTTTCATATTGTCGCTCTTCTTTTTTTTTCTTCTTTTCTATTTTTTTCTATTTTCTATAACTGCCTATAGTGCATGTCAGACACGAGGGTTACTATTGTATGGGTACGAATGCGTGCAAATAGACATAGCATGAATCTTTCGTCCTACTACGTTGAATAAAATAAAGTAAGTAAAACATTTTCGAAAAATAAAGACATAGCCAACGAACCATAAACAAACCGATTGCTTGAATCACGAATAATTACCAGTCATCATTGAAAAAAAATATATAGGTAATAATTTTTTTTTCTTAGCTTAGAACAAAAACGAACGAAGACATTTTTTTTATTCCTTTAAAGAATAGCAGTTTTGTCTCACCTTAGGGGAGTGTCGTTTCGTTTTTTTCTTCTCTTTTTATGATTCCTACTAAATTTTATTCAAACAAAAAGAAAAACAACATGCATGCTTGTTACTATATATTTTAGATACGTTATATTTAGACTATGCATCATACATTAGATAATTACCAATCTAATTATGATGAAAAAGAAGGAATAGGTCCACTAGCAAAGAAAATAAAAACAAGATATATAAATTCTAATGCTAATGAAAGTTTATTATCAAATCCCAAACAATCATCAAATACATTCGTAGTTGATGTCGACACATTTGCTCAAAATGATAATACGAAATTCACAATTGTATCAAAAACTCAAGTATATAAAAATAAAATAGAAATTTTGTTAAATAATTTTATTTATTTATTTTGTTTTTATAAAAATAGTCATCTTCATTATCATCCACGATTCCTAATCGAAAACGACGATATCGAAATATACAAGATATATGTGTCGTTAATACTTCCATACCTTGCTCAACAACAAATCTCAATGGTCATATGCGAAAGAAATCTGATTTGTCTTGCGTTGGTAAATTATTTTATTTTCTTTGGCTGAAAACAAGTTTATAAAATAGTTTTTCAAGATATATCGTGACAAGAGTAACACAACTAATCTTTCATTATTGAGATTAATATAACTCATTATTGAATTAGAGTATTAATAAATACGAAAGGTCATGAAAGACAAAAAAGAAATGTCTCTAGAATTGACAATTATTTTTATCTTTCTTTACTTCTCTACTTTATCATCAACTGAGTAAATAGATCAAAATCGACCAATATTCTTAAACTGAATTTTAAAATATTTTTTTTTTATTATTGTTATAGTTTGTTGTGCTGTTGCACATGGTTATAATTTTGATGCAATCTCATGTGAATCATGTAAAGCATTTTTTCGACGCAATGCACTTTCGAATACGGTAAACATTTTGGTTTAAATGTCTTATCAAAACCAGAAAATCGATATGTCTTATTAATTATATTATTTAGGATCGATTAAAATGTCGTCGTGAACAAGCGTGTGAAATAACACTTGAAACGCGACGTCGATGTAAATCATGTAGATTAAAAAAATGTTTTGCTGTTGGTATGTTATATTTAATCAAATAATGAATTTTTTTTATTTATAATTGATTCATTGATTATAGGTATGAGAAAAGAATGGATTTTAACTGAAGAAGAAAAAGTTAATAAAAAACGTCGTATTGAAGAAAATAGAAAATTACGTGTACCAAATATACATGATATACGATCATCAAAAGATTCGTTAGAAAAAAATGATTTAGATTTACAAAATGTTTTATTTAATAAAAATGAAAAATCTTCATTAAAACATCAATCTACATCACATACTAAAAGTAGTGATATTATAACTAATGTTGTTCTGGCATATAATGATAGTATTAAATTAGATGTTCCTAGTTATGGTTGGTCATATCCATTAGCTCGAAAAATTACTGCTTTATGTCAGATAATTCATGCAAGAAATACAACAGCACTTCGTCTTATTAATTTTTATAAAAGTTTACATTGTTTTGATATTCTAAACGAAACAGATAAGATGAATCTTATTAAAAATAATCTACAATATATTTTCTTTTTTCATTCATCTCTTAAGTATGTATTATCAACAATTAAATTATTTTATTATATTAATATTTTTTTTTTCTTTTCATATAGATATGATCCAGTTCATGATGCTTATCATGAAGAAAATACGAATGATAAACCATTATATGGTGTTGATATTCGTGAAGCATATGGTAATGATAATTATAAACGATTGGTAAAAGTTATGTGTGCTCTGAATTCAATAGTCCAAATTGACAAACGTCTTATGCAAGTTGCACTTGTTATTTTTCTATTTTCTAAAGGCTTGTCAACTACAACTGATTCAAATGAATTATCCATAGATAATTATAAACATATTTATCATCTACAAAATACATATACAGAACATTTATGGGTATTTATAGAAAAACTTTATGGACATGTTCAAGCAACTCTTATATTTTCAACATTAATTAGTAATTGTTTACTTATTCAAGGACTACTTCGAGATATTCAACACGATGTATATGAAAAACTTGATCCATCTGAAGTACCACCTATTCTACGAAGTATTTTTCAATCAGCATAATTTATATATATAAATACGACAGTTTATTATGTTAGTTAGCCGGTCAATTTGATGATCATTTATTTTTATTCATATGATTATTATTTTTGCCCTTTTACTTTCTATTTTAATGTTAAAAAAAAAGTACATATAAAAAAAAATATAACCATCTGTTTCATTGTATTCTGTTCACTATAATGGCACTATATAAAAAAATTCATAATAAAATTTTAAACTATGACCTTTTATACTGAAAATATGCCAACAGAAAAAGAAATAGTACATCAAATTATTCTTCAATTGCGTCTTTCTTTTTTTTTCTTATATAAATATACGTCTAATAGTATGTGGTGTAGTCTGAAAAGAAAATAATAAAAATTCTTTATCGATAAGAATTCATTTATGGTATGCGATACTTTTTGTTTTAGAAAAGAGCTCTTTAACTCGTGGTGGAGGAGGAGGAGGCTGGATACAGATAATTTTTCAAGTAATAAATATGTCCAGCACTTTTTATTATCTATATGGGGAAAAAATAAATTTTTTTATCTCTTGTTTCAGATAAAATAGTACTTTTTTTTATTAAGTACGCTATGATCTTTCTGAGTACTCTTTTTTTAAACAAGAAAAATTATTATTATTATTTATTAGTCATTTTCAATTACCAATTAAAATTTTTGTAGGCGTTGTTTACTTGTTGATAAAATACGGTATATAGTGAATAATTGAGAAATGCATTTGTACAAAAATAAAATGAATTGTTTGATAATATCGAACATGTAACTATAATACACTACTAAACGAGTATAGTTTTGTTTTGATTCACTCATCACAAAAAAAGCTTATGGTAATAAACTAACAGCTAAAGATAAGAATTTTAATAATTTAATATGGAATACAAGAATTGTTATTGAAAATATTAATCAACATGATTGTTTTTAGGAGATTAATTTAAATAAATAAAAGCAAATTTTAATCTGCATTTATGTCTAATAAAAAAAATATTATTAATAAGTATTACAAGAATTTTATTCAAAATTCAATTTAGTATAAAGACGAATCTTTATTTATTATATTTATATCACGTAGCATGTATTAATAAATGATGAGTAAATTATATGACATTATCAGGTCTATCCTAGAGCAAAGTTTGTATATCTTTTCTATTGACGACCTAAGAAAAACAGATAATTGATTTTATATATTTTTTGAGTAGAGTAAAATAATAAGTGCTTTACTTTTCTCTATGTCTGTTGCCACTATAAAAACTTAGTCTATTAGTATAATGAGGGAACAATATAGATTAGAAGCAAGTATATCTCCTATTTGTTTTTCTTTCAATTAAATACTATTACTCTATTCATAGACATATAACAGAAAGACTAGATATAATACAGCTGTTACTCGTATCTAAACGTGTCCTATATATTATATTCTATTGAAATATCCTCCGATTCATACATCGTCTCTGATGTATTTAAAAAACTAAATATCCAAGTGAATAAATAGTGTGTGAATGAAAATGATGAACTATAGTTTTTTTTCTATTGTATTCTATTAATAATAGAATCTCAATGTTAAATATAGAGTGGATCAAGTTTTAAATCATTAATTTACATCTACTAATAAATAAATTGTAAGACATGATGACTCAACAATAAAGAATAACAAGAAGAAATAAAAATAAATCTTATGTATAATGTTACATTAATGTACATAGTGAACATTTTTTAAACTAATTTATTTAAAAGTCAACAGTTATGATATTTCGTTGTCGAACACCAATTTCAGCATCTAAACTAAGTAGTCCTGAAAATTCTTTTAAAGATCATTATTGTGTTATTTGATTACAAAATAAATAGCTATCAAAATGTTTTGACGATGATTTCTACTATTGTATATAAATGTATTCACCAGAACTCATATACAATAACTATATTTCGATTTTTCTGAATTTCTTTAAAATTATGATAAGCATTGCGGTATTTTAACATGATGATTGTATGAGTTTTTTTTCAATATATTAGTTTTACTGGTTAATTATACGTGACAAATTTTAGTGAAATAACTTGTTTAAAAGTATATTAACTATCTAACAATTACGTGCACTTTTAAAAACATTGTTTAATACAGAGCGTTGTTTTGCAACTGAAACTCAAGTACAAGTACAAATATCAAGCATTTCTATGAATAATTGTATTTTGTACTTGAAAAAGTACAGAAGGTGAAAGTATGGGTACTTTCGTCTTAGCTTTGTTGTTTAATGTCAATGATTCATTTTATTCTATCAAAATGTGATTGTTCTATCGATCGATCTCATCAGTGTTGTTTTGAGTATTGATAAAAATACCACTAGGTTGTTGGTCAAAAAAACCTTCTTGTTTGCTATTGTCATTACCTTTATGTTCCACAATGTACATGAACATAAATTCGATAAATAAACAGAACGCTTTTCACTATTTCTGGATTCTAATTATCTAGATCGAAGATATTTATCTGAACAGTTTTTGTTGACAATAATCTTTTATCAAAAAATATCATAGCAAGACAACTAACAAAATAAAACTTGTTATTTGATATTCAACATTAGTCTTAAAAAGTTAGAGTGACTGATGAAAAACGTAATTTAGTAACACTTTAGTGTAACTAAAGATGTCACTCATATTCTATGATATTCATATATTAATTAGTTCAAATATTTATTGAAAATAAGTCATTTAGTCATTAGATACTACCACTACTCGTACTTTTTGTTCATTTCGAAAGATAAGAAAAAATAGAATTCCAACGCTGAATGACATAATCGATAATGATGTATACATCCACAAGAGTTTTGGATTGACTGTTACCGGTACAAGAGTAAAATTTAGAGTACTACCAATTGCTGATGTGAATAGATAGAGTGACATGACGATTGATTTCATAGAAGCAGGCGCTTGAGTGAATGCATACTCAAGACCAGTAATGGAAGCAAAGATTTCTGAGATAGCAATGAAAAAATACGTTGGAATTTGCCAAGCAACAACTATATTGTTAAATCTTGGGCAACCTGGACATGGTTTTGTAAAGTCATAGTTTGGTCCAGTAGAATAAATTTGATGTTGAACAAATGCTGCCCATGCCATAGCAATGGAAACACAGATAAAACCACAAGTAATACGAACAATCGATGGAAATTTAATTTTAAATCGTCGCAACGTAGGATAAATTACCTTGTCAAAAATCGGAATAAATACAATTAATACGAGTGGATCGATATTCTGTAAAACATCATTGGGTAAAGGACCTAAAGTGAGAGAGAAGGAAGATTAATCGACTCACTAAAAATCAATTGACTTACCAACATTCATTTGTGCTGCTTGAGATACTAGATTAGTGCTCAATTGATTATAACAGATCCAATAGAATGGATAAAAGAGAAAGACACGGCAAGCTCTTATTGCTTGTTTAAAATCATCAATAAATTGATTTTCACTCAACTGTGCAATGGTGTGTTGTTCATCTTCATTGATTGGTGACGATGGAATTTCTTTAGCGTAATCTAAAAAATGTGGTCGATCGGCTCGTTTGCCTAATTTAGAACGCATTCGAATTGCTTTCATCAGTACACGACCAGCACGAAGAAGTAACGAACCAGTTGGAGGTGTTAGAATGTATCGTTTACGACCAACTATTAAGACAATAATCGATCCAGTAAATACAACTAATGGTACTAGATAAGCGAGCCAGAATGAATGATATTTTTCGATATTGGTCGTAGCAATCGATGATATTGCACCTATATTAATAGCCCAATAGAACCAATTGAACATCGATTGTACCGTTCTAAAATACGAATAATATAATCCAAAAAGATAAAAACATCACAAACTTACATTTTCGGATCAATAATCTTCTTTTTACCTTTAATTTCTACAAAAAAAGAACAGTGAGATCAACCTTTTATAATCAACATTTCTCTTCGTACCTTTCACCACTGATTTTGTTACAGTATATTGTTCAGCCATCAATGGACTGACATTACTCTTTACACCACCAGTACCAAGTCCAATAATAGTTATAGCAATGATTAAACCCGGAAAGGCAACACCTGCATGAATAGATGGTGGTATACTCGTCAAGACAAGAACTAAAAGTCCAACCATATAGATAATACATGCTACCATAATTGTTTTATATTTGCCCCAAAATTGATCAGCTAGAATAGCACCAGCAATTGGTGTGAGATATGCAAAAAATTGAAAGTATGTTGTTATTGCAGTAGCAGTCTGCTGTCCACGATCGAGAGCACCTGGTTGAGTATTATTGCCCTTGGCTTCAGGAAATTGTATATAATTTTGAAAAGGACCAGAAAGGCCATAGAAAGCAAAACGTTCACATAATTCACAAACAACAATTAACCAAGCTGATAATGGTATTCGATCGGAAATATGTTCTAAGGTTTCTAATTCTTCAGCTGTTGGTTCTATATCAATCGATTTGTTGGTCCGTCCGATGACTTTCGATTCAGCATTTTTCGTGCTATTCATTTCAACATATTCGCTCGTATCCATCTAGTTCGATGTCTCTCGATAACTCTATTCAAGTTTGCAATTTGTTTGACGGATTTAAGAGTTATGATATTATACTTCGTCTGTATATTATCAAAATAAGACCTTTCTGATTCTCTTCTATCACTCGATTCGTTTTATTCATATCTCTACTTTTTTCAAGGTATTATATATGTAAATGTATCACAAAGATCAATTATTATCAGTACTTTGCTCGAAGCCTTGAGGTAGACAGAAAGTGTGGGTTTAAGATTTAAATGCATTATACGTGTAAAGTCTCACCTTTGTTAAATTTATTTTGTTTTTTTTCTCTTTCTTTCGTTATATAGAATCCTGTCAGATTTACTTTCGATTTTTCTCTTTTTTTTAATATCATTCTATTCATTTCAACATATGATCGATTGTTTTACCATTCTCTCGTTGTCATTCATTTACAATATAAACTCTTTTTTTCTCTAAGATTGAAAAATTATTATTAATCAAATTACTTCGGTCCGACTTGCTTTTTATAAATTGAAATAAACGATTAAACATCATTAACAGATATAATCAATTAGTAATTCGATCGCACTTATCACTTGCATATTCTAAGATTATATGAAAGTTTATTGTGATAAATTTTTCTTAAAATAGAGTTTTAAACTGAATGACCGGTTTTATCCTTGAAATCAACAAGATTCACACGATTGTATATGATAGATGCAAGACAACCACTTAGAAATATAGATTTAGACAATAAATATAAGGTCTCAATAATCTGCAAGTGCCAATGGGCATAGGACACATCGGTTATTCACTGAAATTTATCCATCGTTAAGTGCAAGAATTCGATCCCGTGGTAAGTCTGATAATGATTAAGGGTGAGGGTATGATACTCATGTTCATCTCACACTCGCTGTATAGTCACATATCTATTTTATCCGTTTCATTAAAAATTTTAAAAACTTGTACATACACTTTTTTCAAATATATGTCTATGAATGACGAGAATTCAAATGTATCAGGCTGTGTAGAGGAAAATAATGAATAACATTATTCATATCGTATTGGTATTTCTTCTTGCAAAATAGAAAACTGTTATCAAAAGTCAACAACAAGTATTGATCGTAGCCCTCAATCAAACATTTGTTTTTTTCTTTCAAAACAGTTAAGATAATAACTATCTTCAACATCGACACTAAGTTCGAATATTTAGATATAACTAGTAATATTGATCGGAAAAGATATCTTGAATACAATAATGATTCATGCCATAGATATGTGCATAAGATATAAACTTTACTAGACATACACTAATTCCAGTCCTGACTGATGCATATCAAAGGTTTTTATGTAAAAAATTGGAAACAAAAAAAATTATTCAGAACTGTTCATCTGAAAGATATCATTTGACTAAAACAACAGTTCATCAAGCCTAGAGTATCCCTTTTCTTTTTTTTGTCGAACTTTGTAATGGATATGATCAAATTATTTCACAGTTATTGTCAAAATGTATTTTCCATTATTTCGGAGAATTAATGAAGTTCTATGATTTTGTATCGTATTTAAATCAATAGTATAAGTTTCCTTCTTTTATCGTCTTTAGCGATAATCAGTTACCGATATTTATACACTTTGTTATTCTAGATCAAAGTCAATGTTCAGGAAAGTGAACGTAACAAGAAACTATTTTTCTAATTATTATTGTGTCTGTAATGAATACTTATCAATTTCTTTTATTTTTTAAGTAACATATGATTTTGAAAATATCATACATTGCAGCGCTTGCCATGACTTCAGCGAAATTATTTAGATAGGATATCTTCCACTGAAAAAATCTGGGCGCTGATGCATGATATATAATTAAACTGTTACTTAATATGTTGTCAAATAACAGAGAAATGGAAAAAGAGAGTAAGATTAGTTAAGAGTAACATTTGTGTTTTCTTTCTATTCGAACACATCACAGTATTTTCTTGTTCATTCTGAAATCAGATTGAGACAATGATAGATTTTAACAAACGAGCTTTTTGGCATTTTACATTAAAAGATATATTAACTATTATATCTTCAGTTGCTATACCTATAGCTCTTGCTATTTATTCTGCAATTGGATCTCAACAACAAAAACGAGAAGCTGAAAAAACACGACAGTTTGATTTGGAACAAGCTGAAAAATTAAGACAACGAACACTTTATGATGAGTTTTTAAATAACATTTATAAATTAGATAAAGATGATTATCTCAGCGATACAAAAAATCCATGGGCATTTGCAAATGCATATTATCGTGCTGCTCATCGTCAATGGGATACAATACGTAAAGCAGATGTCTTACAATTTCTGAAAGAAAAACAATTAATTGGTAGAAATAATTGTTCTAATGGATGTAGAACAACAAATTTAAATGATATAATCCGCTTGAATAAGTTAAACTTTGATAATGTACATCTAGCAAGTGAAACTGGTGTGTTAAATCAGTTGGATTTAGAATGTGTTTCTTTTGATCAAGTATCAATGTCAAATGCAGTATTTTCATTTGCTAGTTTAAATGGTGTATCATTTGATGGAGGGCGGTTAGATAAGGTGAAGTTTGATGACTCATCTCTACTTTGTGCTAGTTTTAATGGTGTAAATCTATCGGGAGTAGATTTTGGAAACTCAGATCTGGCAGGTGCACACTTTTCAAATACTGATTTGTCAGGAGCTAAAATAACGGAAGATCAAATAAAACAGGCATATTTCCATAATGTAACTATGCCAAACGGAGTGAAGCGTGAAACTATATCCTCAACGACGACAAAAAAACCTATAATCCAAACAACAACAACAACGATAAAAACAAAAATGTCGACAACCACATCATCATCAACAACAACAACGACAATGATGACGACAACGACGTCAACAAAAACGTCAACAACAACAACAACATCAGCATCAACATCAACAACAACGTCAACGTCAACAACATCAACAACAACGTTAACAACAACAACAACAACAACGACATCATCAATAATAGGTTAGTAATATGCTAGTTGATATATGGCTGGCTAAGCTATGCATATTCCAGATGGTTAGATCTAGAGTTTTTGGTTTTATCTATTAAATATTCTGTATTTAGATAAATACCGTCACAGAACATTTTTCATGAACTGTCAAAATCGGTGTCTATTTTTGATGAGCCGACCTGATGCACATTTGATCAAGTGTTAGGATGAGGGTAAAGGGAAAAATACGCACCAGCGGGCATGTTCCTTGCTACGTGTGAGGATAGAAACACATATAGTATATTTTCCATTTTGGGTGTCACAAAACATACACTAGTGTTTTCTGAATGAGAATAATAGCTAGGTCCTAGTATACTATAGTAGAGTCTAATAGATCATGATAATTCGTCGTAGATCTTAGCAAACCCTATAAGATTCTAGTAGGCCATCGTGGGCCCGACAGACCTTGACAAACTCTAGTAGATCGTGTAGGCCCTAGTAGAATTTATCATACATTTAAATAAATATAACCAGAAAAAAATATAAATGTTAACGTCCGAAACAAGATTGCACCCGTTCTCGGATTGAGCTAGACATGTCAGATCCAACAATGGATGAGTTCGTTGTCGATTTGGGTAATAGCTTTTGGTCAAAACCAGAACTACGTTATTGTCGGTTGATGATTCTCTTTGGTGAACTGTGATAAGACGTGAACATTTTAGTCATTATAATCATGAAGAAAGAAACTAAGTTCGAGATCAAGTACTTATAAACAACTTCTCCTAAAAGTTGTTCTTTTGTGTGCATATGGTCATACCTTATCGAATCTAAGCTCTAAGAATTCGCTGATGATTATATTAATTAAAATACCAACGCTTCATCAAGTTTAACGAATAAGAATTCCTATACATCGTCGATCTAGAAGCTATGTCGAATTCTAACGAAAAGCTCTTCTGTGATCTAATATTGAACGCGTTCATTGTCGGATCCGTCATTGACTTAGCTCAATCCGTGATTGACCGTATCGTTAGTTTGCACGCAAGGATATATTATATAAAAAACTAATAAATATATGCAGATAATATAACTAAGATAGCTCCCGTTGAGAGAACTCAATTTTTTATAAGAACAGCGTCGGTATCATCTACTCTAACTAACTCCTACATCTTCATTTTTATACATCCTTACCATCACTCTAACACCCACATCTAAACCGATAAATATCGTTGCTAACGAGCGATAAATTTTGAACATAAATTTATTCTAATTACTATAATAATAGATTACGTCTTTACACCGTCACCAGCTAGTTGTAATAACATTTTGACAACAAGTAAGTTTTGTCTACTTATTTCTGTTTGTTAAAAAATGTTTGTATATGCTATTTACTTCTTAGGCTGTACGACAACAACGACTATTATTGCTAGCTGTCAGAGTTATGAAGTATCATGGAATAATCATTGTTATTATCTTGATGGGTCAAGTGGCAGTTGTATCGCTGGTTACAGCCGAGCAACGAGTGCTGTTTTGCCGTGCATAAGTTCACAGTTTGTTGGAAAGACGTATCGAAGTACGATATCGGATAATTGTTGTGTCTGGACGGCAGCTACATATGTATGTTTTGGGCTCAATTCCAATTGTAATTCAGCAGAACCTTTTACTTCAGGACCAGCCCTAGGTGGTGGTGGTGGAGGTGGTTGCAGCTACTTGGAGAAACCGTCGTCGAAGCAGTTAACGTTTTGCGGTAGCGTTTAAACAGACTAAGATGTATATGACTACAAATTGCATAAATATTGCTTTCAGAAACTTTTAATAAAAGCTATTTCCTCATCTAAGAATTATTTACATTAATTATCTTCTAGAGTTACTTACAATCGACATGAAAAATCGTGCGGATTTGAATGTAGATGTCTATATACTGTTTGTAACGGTATATTCCTTTTCGTGCTTCGCACTTTTCTTTTATTTTACAACTGAATCAATATCTCTTTTCCTCTTTCCCTCTTTATCTCACTGTCCATTCGTGGAGAGATAAAGAGAACGAGGGGAGCATCGTACAATTGGTGGTGCCGTACTAGAGAGAGACATGGTGTGATTAGTCACCACTAATGCTTACACATTCAGCTTTTCGTACTATTGTTTTCTTAAATCAATAGAAACCAGATTGATTCTATCTTTTGACGTGAAGAATAGCCTTAGAGTGTAAGAATGTGAGTGTAAGTATGAAGAATCACATCAGTATCTATACCCACAATCACAGTCACATCCGCTCTTCTCAGGCTCACTAGTAGTGGCAACTGATGAGAAGTACCAACTATTAACCATCAACTGATTAGTGTGTGAATTCAATCACATTTTACGATTGTTTTTCAATATATGTCATTTATCACTAACAAATATATTCATTTAAACATTTCAGTTTGTATATATTACTGATACAGAAAATAGTTTTAAGAGAGATGCCTCACGAAAGCCATAGCCACGCCACGTTTGTTATGAACGATAGAAGAGGATGTTTGCGTAACAGAGAACAATATTCTATGACATCAGAAACTGACAGCACACATTTATAAGTAAATATTAAAAGAAATCGATCAAAAATGAATAACATGGCCACAAATGATCAAATACTTGCGATACATAAAATTTTGTTTTTTACGATGAGCATTGAGAAGAATTTTGTTTCAATTTAGTTTTTTGGTGAAATTTTGGTTCGATTCAAAATTGTTGTTTCGTCGTCTATCAATCAAATTGGTAAGAACCGATCAGTTCGATTACAACTCTGTCATCGATTACAACACAATTTCTTTCATTTTAAAAAAATAATAAAATGTAAATTCATCACGCTTAATCAGCTCGTAAAAATATATGACGCAGATAAAAATCCTAAAACAAAGTTTATGTCTAATATAATGCACTTCCTTTACTCGCTATATTTCTATTGTACAACGAACAGATTTGTTTATGTATGTGTCACGAATTATATTTGTTTAAAAAAATGCCAAGTAATATATTAAGAATTATAAAAAAGAAGAAATTCATCGATTTATTCATTTTTCGTACCTTATCTGTAAGTAAATAAGCATTACTTTCTTTAGAATAACAAAACTAATTTAATTTATCTTTTGTTACATATTTCAGAAATAATTGAACATTTTTAATTTTTACAAATTAAACTTGAATAATCATGAAGATAATGAGTATGAAAAAAGTATAATTTTATTTATTTTATCCAGATAATGAAACTGGAGATTTAAAGAAGCGATTCTATGGTGATGAAATACAATCTCAAATAGATATTTTTCGTTTAAATAATTCGATTTTTATATACTATTCAGAAAAAAATGAATATAAATATTTTTTTTCATGAAAAATTAAATATAATTGGTATTTATGATAATTTCAACCGATTGTTTTCATTAGTTGAAGAAAAATATTATAAATGGATATTTCGTAACTAAGAACATTATTTATTTAAAAATTTATCAAAATAATTAAATGATTTTCTTTAGATACAACTATTGCATCGAGTTCATTTTTATTTTTTCTATGACGAAGAGTATGGCTGTTCATGATCAATGAGAAAAATATCCATATTCACCTTTTTTCTATTGAAATTGGGTAGAAGTATCAAGTCTAGATGTTTGATGAGATATCGATTAGACCTGCAAAACGTTGTTTACTTTGAATCACTTTTCATCAAATTTATTAAACAAAATTCCAGACGAAAAGAATACATCTGTTTATTTAAGACTTCAGTAGTTAGTGAGTGCTGATACTCAAAAGAATTGTCTTACATATAAAATCGAGATCATAAGAAAAACATTTGCAGAACTGATTAATAAACTTCTAAACAGAAATGGATTGGGTGTGGATCAAGCGAAGATACACCCACCCTTTACTTTTTGATTGTTGAACAGAAAAACAAATTCATTCAGAGAAATTATCATAAAAATCAATTTTTTTATCTAAAAATAAGACTTTAAAAGTAATTGATAAATTATAAACAGATATCTCTTTTATTTTTCTAAAAGAAAATCATCTTATTAGTGGAGTTTTAAAAATATGTTGAATAGATTAATAAAATTCTAACGGCATATCTATGAAATAAAAGCAATAGTCATAAATAATGTATACTGAAAATTTTTGTTTAAAAATAAAAAGATATAGTTTATATATATTATTCAGATTTAAATATGTTCCTCATCACTTTTTTGATTTATATCTCTAAAGGATCTGATTTGAAAGCACAAGAATGTGGGTCGAAACGTGAAAAATCTAGGGGTAGTGCTCGTGTAAGATTAGAAATTTGTGCAACAGATCAAGTTTGTAAGATGGCATGTGAACAAGATATAACATGTTGGGTATGGTCATTTTCACTTTCATTAAAAAAATCCTGACAGTATTCAAAAATTATTGATTTTTGGTCGGATGATGGTTCTATAGATGGATCATGTCGTGTTAAGTGATTAAAAATGATTCTTTTTATTCGTGCTTTTTGACATAAATGAAACCGTTGGTTATCATCAAAAAAATATATATACTTTAATTTACTGATGAATATATAATATCGAGATGTACTCTCTTTAAATATGTTCAGTCAATAAGTATTAGACAGACATAATGAATATCGTAAAAAAAACATTGTTCACAATTATCAATATCAAGTGAAAACCTAAATGAAAGTTCTCAAGATTATGCAGATAGATCAATTACATTTGTTGAAACACCACCTAATTATATTGGAATTAGAATGGAAAACTTATATGATCAAACACTTGATTATAAATTAGAAGGTAAATAAGAATTAAAATATTTCTATCAATTTAAAGATTCAGTTTCAGTCGATCAACGATATAATGAAAAAAATAAATATAACTGAAAATATCCTGAGTTTTCTAAATCAAAAAATTTTGCTAAAGTTATTTGGAATCATGTGAAACAATTAGGAATTGGTAGAGTATGTTCGAATGATAACACAACAATGTTTGTAGTTGCAACTTATTATCCCGGTGGATATCTTGAAGAATCATACAAACAAAATATCAAAAAAGAATGTTAACAAATTAATATTCAAATATATTTAATAAAAATAATAGTATTAATTTAATAATTAATACTTCTTTTCATTCATTAGATTGAATAAATCTATTGAAGATTGTGCAATTTTAACAATGGAAAATTTTAATATTTTATTTAAAAAAAATATGATGAAACAATTAACAGATAATTGGACGAATATATGTATATGTATAAATATCTATCACAAAAAATTTCTTCATTAATTTTTCATTCGTATAAAAAATTATTAGAATCTTTTGAAACAAATAAACTTAACAAAACGTTGCCAATTTTTTCTTCAAAATGGCAACATTTATCGTTAGATATTAATTCACGAAAAAATCACGCCTTTCATTTGATTTTAAGTAAAATGCTTCATTTAAATAATTTACATGTTTATATTCAACAATATGATGCTTCACTACCGACTATCGAATAGTTAGAACAATAACATATTCGATTTAATCGTTCAAATGAATGAAACACTTGATCATTAATTTTGGTTAGGATAATATCGATCATAGAATAACATATATTTCTATATCAATAATTTTATTGATAAATCATCAATAGAAGAAATATTTCGACTTTTTTCTGTACATTAAAACTATCAACTATACATGAATAAATTAGATTTTGATAATGAATAAGGAAATAAATACACTACACATATTCTTAGCAGCATTTTGAGGATGTCAGAATTGTATTTATTTCATACTCTTACTCACAACCGAATATATGTATGTATAAACGAATATCATATTCAATCTTCATTCTCATAATTTTAAGCATAATAAAATAAAACAAACAAACGTTTTTAGATTACATAAATATTTATTTGATTTACAAATCTATAAAAAAGAAAAGAATTGTCCATAGCATGATATATATCTTGTCACAATAATGAATTCTCATCGATTAGTAGCAAAAACTATTAAAATAGATCGGATAAATCATCTAAAAATCACTGTTTATCAAAGTTCTATGAATGATTTATGAGAAAAAAACATTTCTATAGATATCACGTATCTATAGAAATTAACTGTCCGTTTACCTACGAGTATAAATCGAATATTTTCATAAAATTCTTTCATCATGAGGAATTGATGACGTTCGTGAAGATGAAGATTTTATCAAAAAGAATATTAAATATACTCAATACATCATAATGTTGAAGGTAATATACGATAAAAGGTGATCGATGAGTCATCAATATACGAGTATTCTGTTGATAAGGGCTTCATTTGCTGAGTTAACTGGAATATGTTTTTTCCATAAAAATCATCATCAGAACAAGTTCTAACAATTTTATGAGAAAAATAATTTATCAAGATTGATCTTTTTAATATTAATTTTTTAATGATGTCTGCTCTCTTTTTATTAATGTGCATCATATATTCATCGTCCTTCTTAGCAATACCATTTGTTTACGTAGGTTTTGTGTGTAAAGGTGAAAAAACACGAAATATTTTTCTTATTCGTCTTTTTTTTCTGGATGCAAAAAAAAATGTAATTATAACAAGATTTTGTGTGTATAGATAAGAAGAATAAGAAAAATCAGAGTGAATAATTTCTCATTCTGTCACTAATATACACGAATAAAATGTTTTTTTTTATCACCAAACTTTTTAAATATTAAACTATGAGCAAAACAGAATAGTTTCGGTCACTACACATTTTTGATACAAATAATCACCTAAAAAAAGACACTTTTAATCAACAGATTTTTATACAAATATGTTGTTTCATCGTCTAATACTCAAATATCATTTTCAACTTGATTAGGTATCTATATTTCTTGTCGTTAGATACATTTAATGATATTTTCATGTGATAACAACCTTGCTGATAGATTGTCTCATTAGAATGATGTTCTTCCTCGGTTGGACTGAAAATCTACTCTTGTAAATATTCAGTTCGATTATTATGACACCTGTTGAACTATTAGATACACAAAAAAAAAGAAAAGAACGTCCCAAGAAATTTATTATCTGTTTATCATTCCAACCATCATTTTTTTTTCGGAGAAATAAATATATTAGATGGTTATGAAAAATCTGGGGACCAAAAATATCTTTTTTGAATGACTATTTCTATCTAAACTATACTTCTATTCGTCATTATTTGTATTCTAAATTGTGTGATGATCAGAATAATTGTCACACGATGTAACTGTTCTTCTTCAATGTACTTTGATGTTTTCGTCATAAAATAAGAAGAAAACAAATGAAGAGATTTTCTTGTTGATGTTTGAATAGAATTGTTCCATTAATTCACTTGATAAATCTTTTCTCAATCGAATATTTTATTTTCCTAATAAATTCTTTTTCATATAAAAAGATATTGGAGAAAAATTTTTCTTCAAATTTGTTTTTTGATACTCAAAAAAGAAAAGAAATTATACTTTGAAATAAAAATCAAGTTTGAAACAAGCGAAATGCATCATCGACAACGTAAAATATTCATAGTCAGTGTGTTGTCTCGTTTTTATTTTTTTCTTAGGACGTTAATTACGTAGGCAAAAAAATATACTTATTTATACGATTGACATGAAAGCAATGAAAATATCTGACTAGCCCGTCTCGTACTGCTCTGTTCTATAAATAATTGTAACTCACAGTATTTATTCTTCAATCTTAATATCATTGACAAAAGATTTTTCTAATGAAAACAACTTTTTATTGGACAATTCAAAGAAAAATGTAAGTTGAACAAAAATTTTCTCATTTGACGCATAGAAAAATAAGATAAATCTCTATTAAATTCGTTATTAATGATACCAAAGAGATTTGTTTTGATCAAAAGAAACGTTTTCTCTTTGAGAATAATTCAACAGTCTTAGTTTAAAGAGATACTGAATAACTCTTTCTTAAATAAAATCTACATTAGAAGAATTTATCGAAGATTCGACTTTAGTATTTTTTTATAGACAGATGAAAAGACTCTTTTTCCATTAAAAAATCGCAATGCAATATCTTCTGTTAATTGAGATTTTTTTAAATAAATATTTGTTTTACAGAGCTTTCTCTCTGCAAAAATATCCCAGTCCACAAAAATTCATTTCAAAGAAAAAAAGATGTCTTTTATATTATACAAACGGTAACTCAGAGAGAAAAAAACAAAGACACGAAAATCGATAATATGTATATATTCTCTCTTTGTATGAAGGTAGCTTTAGGCAAAGAAGACGCGACACGAACGCATGTAACGTTTGTATATAAAGTAAAAATTTTCTCGTTCTGTTTTCATCTAATAAGACTACTCATGTGTATTAACAAAAATAAAAATGTTCAGTTTGCGAGATTGAATTATTAAAAAAATACTAATCAGAATCAAAAGATTATCTAGTTTTAACATCAAACTTGCTTTTTGCATCTAATGAGATTAATACTGGACAATATAAATCAGATAAAAATATAAAGAGAATGCATACCTATATATATGTGTGTATTATTTTAATAATTTCTAAGAAATAAATATGTCTCTTATAAAATCAGTCAAAGGCAAAGGCTAGCATACAAAATATGAAAAAATTGATTTTTGAATACGAAACAGTGTCAAAGAATTACATGCTGTTTCAGACAGCGACTATTCTGAAATAGTTAGATCAGTGTTTAATTTCTGGATGACTACGCTCTTTATTCTCAATTAATGTTTATTGTACATAAATACTATTTATCTATGTTAATAATTCATATGAATATATTTTTGAAATTGAGAACTATTTTTCTCATATGATGGGGAATTTGAATTTGTCGCAAAATCAAATTTCCCATTAATTCATTTTTCTATCAGCAGTTAAGTATAATTTTCCGTTCGTTCATAATTTAAATCAAATTTATGAAAAACATAGTTTATTATCTTTTCCTCGATTTGCACGAAAGTATCTATACACGGAACCTTCGAGCGCGTAAATGTTGATCAATCCAAAGAAGATCGCATCATCTTCTTTGATGATTACGTAATAAAAGAAAAAGAAAACGAATATAAAAGTTCAGTAATTTTCATGGAGAGACAGACAACGAAACAAAAAGGTTAACCTTGGTATATATATATGTAGAGAAAAAAGAAGAAGAACAGAAAAAATGTGCACATAAAGGTGATGAAAAAAAATGTACATGTGACTGCACAACGAGAAAGAGAGAAGGACAAAATTATTAGATTGCTTTCTAACATACAAGATTTATGAAAAGTTAAAGATCAAAACTTTTCTCGTCTCTCTTTGCTGTTTCATTAAAGTTTATCGAGAAATTTGTTGGAAAATTCTTGATGAATATACCGAATTTGAATATCTTCGAACGATCTTCGACATAATTATCAGTTTACGCAGATTGGGGTAAAACAATTCGTCTATCTTTAAAAAATGCAATCAATTCCAAGTTTTTCTCTGAGTTATTTCTTATGTTCAGATAGAACTTACCGAATTATACACAAATACCTATTCGAACAAAGTTTATAGAAAACTATACGAAGAGATTGAAATAGTTAAAGAAAACAAAACGATACATGAACTTACACTAATATATCTCTAATCTTCATCTGCGCTCATAGTTTTCCATAATCATATCGACGATCCTTTGGATTTGTCTAAAGTTGATATCTTTCTTTAGAATTTCAAGATTGATAAACTTCAATAAAAATAGGAAAAATAGACGAAAAAACTTCTCGGATATCCTCGTTGACAGAATTAAGTCTATTACAGTTGTTAATTCATAACAATTTTCTGTTGATTTATGTTTATTAGAAATCATATTGGAATCTCTGAAATTTTATTCTACGGAGTATTTCAACTTGTCTACGTAATGCGACTCTTCGCTGATTAAGTTTTGTGAAAGGTTATTTTTAAGCTGAGCTAATTTAAATTTTTTAATAAAGAATGTTTTGAAAAAAATGTCCTGATATTGAAAAATCTAATCGATTCTAATAATTTTATTATGAAATAAAAAACAATCGAAGAAAATATTAGATACTTTTATTGTTTATATTTTAGTTATTTATAAAAATAAACAGTCCGGCAAAATCCAACCCTTCACTTCTACGTAGTGTCGGATGGAAACGTCATCATGTGACGGCTAAGATGGGCTCTGGTAAGGACCTCAGGACTAGTCACCCTAGGTTCCTCTCTCACTGACCCTGAAAATAACAATAGTTATCGCCTGTAAACCATGCTTGTTTGCAGTCGACTGATGATGATGATGATAAAAATAAACAATGTCAATGTTCGTACCTTCAATAGAAATAAATTCATCCGATCTTGAGAATTTTATTCAGTTTGCATTTAAAAATGAGAAGATTCTCAAAGAATTTGGTGGAATTAGAATCAAATTGAATTCTCAATGTCAATTGGCTTTGAAGAAACATCAAATTTCATGTATATATTCAACTACACAAATAATAATAAAAATTAGTAAAGATCAATTGATTTATTCAGTTGAAAAAAAAAATACCAAAAAATATATTCAACAGCAATTTTCAATTACAGATGAACAAATATTTTGGTCTTTTCTCAAAGATTCCCAAAATAAATTGGCTCACTCAAGTATTTCCCGAGTAGAAAATCAAACATTATTCTATAAAAAATTCTCAAAAGGCACATTTTCAATTCATTCAATTCCAAAACAATTATTACTTCAATTAGGTGGAAACAAAGTTCTTGATCATATTGTATCATCTCTAACAAGATCAAATGGACCAGGTGGAATTTATCCTCTATCAAATAATGAACACGAATTATTTTCTCTCATATATCATCATCAAGGTACACCTCGTCATTGGTTAATTATTCCTGTATATAAACGAGAACATCTTAGAAGAATTATTAATGAAGAATATCCTTTAATTTGTCTTGAACATGGGCGATTATTAATTGATCCATTATTCCTTGATAAACATCATAAATTAATTCAATATCCAAATCAATTTGTTATTTTATCAACTAGAGTTTTATCTCAAAGTTTTACAGAAGATTCAAGTTGGTGTGAATCAATTTCATTTGCTTTACCCAGTTGGATTCAACAAGGTTACGCATTTTACTCTCCTTCACATTTTACTTCATCGATTCCAACTGATCATCAAAATTCATCCAGCGATCAAGGTGAGTTTAATCAACAGATTTTATTTCTCAAATTCTCATTTTTAAAATGTATGAACATTTACATTTTCTCCCACTATTTCATCATATCAATCAAAAAGTTTTAATCATAAAAACAATAAACAAAAGTTGATCGTTTATATCTACAAATTTTAATTTAAACTATAAAATGTTATATTAATTGTTGATATGAAACATTTGTTCGCACAGGTTTTTTTTATTAGTTCGTTAATGTCACATGTTGAGAAATTCTCAATAGAAAGACTAAAACAGTTATTTTACATGATATCTAATCGAGAGTGCTTTTTTAGATAAAAATCTTTCTCTAACCAACGAAAAGGTTATGGAAGACGTTCATCCAACTGTAATCAGACATCATCAATTATCTTCATCATTAATTGTCTCATCTGTACAGAATTCCTTAGAAAATCAAGACGAAGAAAATAATTTTCAAGGGCAAACACGAATTAACAGGTTAGTTTCAAAATTTTCATCGAAAATGATCTTAATCTGAGCGGATAGAATATTTCTTCCCTCGAAATTGTTTTATAAAACCTTTCAAAATTGGTTCCTTCTCAAAACAAACAGATAAGAAGGAGAAAAACAAAACTAATCGTAAGATATTACTGCTCTCTTTCTTTTTATCGTTGATAAACATGAGTTATTGAAGTAAATCCGTATTTATACGCAATAGAAAGAAAGAAAACGTTAAAAAATATTTTTCTCTCGCATATATAACAAACATCAATGACAGAACGAACAAAATCACTTGTGAGTCATTAAGATTTTTTATTTCGAAATATTTTACTCGTTTTAATGGACATTTTGATAAAATAAAAAAAATTGAGTATTATTCTTCTAATATACATATACATATAGATAATCTTCTCAAATCTTCCTAGATTTTATCTGAACATTATCTTCTCCATTAAACATATATCATTATATGTTAAAAATCTCTCAAACTTGTTTGCTTTTTCCACACAATTTTTTTCAATGTTACAGTTCGATGCGTTTGACAAACATCTTAGTCAGAGAAAATATCTTAAAGAAACTGATCCAAATATGAAAATAAATGTAGTTTATTATCGTAGAACGCTGATTTGTTCAGTATAGGATTAGACAAAAAAGATTGATGATAGATTATTTGAGAAAGAATTAGACATGCATTAAAATACCTTGAATAGTTGTGTATACAGATAAACATCATTGAAAAGATTTATTCAAAAGTTTTTCATTAATGAATTCATCGACTGTATTGTTTATACAATAATCGACCTATGTATAAGAAAGAAATTCTTTGCAATATTATCTGTAATAAATCAATTGCTTTTTATTGTGTATAACATTGAAATAAAGATTTTTATTCATCATTGTAGAAACTACATACTTCAGAATTCAACTACTGAAGATTCGTTCTTAACAACATTGACCGAATCAGATTTCGACAAATATTCATCTGAATTTTCGCAAATGTTTGGAGAACAATCTTCTCAAACTGATACATTAATGGAAATTTCAAGCATGTTTAGTGATATTGAGACAAGTCATGAATGGTGTGCCTCATTTGAAGATCTTATGAACGTAAGAGATCAAATATCATCAGTGATTTCGTCAACATCTACGCAAAATGAAGAACTAACTGATAGTGTCAACGAATATCAAGAGGGATCATTAGTAAGTTATTACGTTTGTCGTTGTTTTAGAAACATAATGAGTTAGAAAAGATGTCATTTTTGTAAAATTTCTTGTCAATAATTACAAATTTAAGCGAATATATTCATCGAGGAGATATAGATTTACACAAGTGTAATAGAATTTATATAGAAATTCAACGTTTTACGTTGATAGAAATGTTGAATTTCTGTAAAGAAACGAGAATATAAGAGGAATTATCGACAAGAAAAATGTTGTTTAATATTTCGTTCGTATGTAATTTTTCATTGACAAGTCCTAAGTAGAAAAAATTGTCTTGTTCAATGAGATTTGTCTGTTAAAACAATGTCTTCAACTCTATTTAGATGTCCACATCATAGATTTCAACAGACACAATAACAACAGCAGAAATTTCCATAAAGAACAATTTGAAGAAAAGAAAAAGAGACCTACTCAAAAATCATAAGAAAACCCTTGTTGTAACAGGATTACGTGATGATATAAATCAAACTGATCTATCTAATTATTTTCTTGGATCTGTTCAAGTCATAATAAAACAATGTCAGACATCGTCTTTCAAGTATTGTTCTATCTTTAATAATATTCTTATATATGAGTATTTTTTGTTTAGATATGCTTTTATTTTACATGGAACAGCCAAACAACTTAAACACAATTTTTCCCGACCGATCGATTATATTCGTCTTGGTCCGGAATGTTGTGTCAAATATGTGGATTATTCTTCGTTTCTTCCTGCAGATCATCAATCTTATGATAAACAAACAATTGCAGTGACGAATATACCAGAAAATGTTAGTGAAGATGATTTGCGTCGTTTATTTCCCAACTCTCGTATATCGAATTATTGTCCAGCACGGACTATTCATCGTAAATCTGCCTCGATCAAGATTTTATGGGGGTAAGAATTGTACTTCAATTTTATTTTCTACATCGAAATGTAGTAAACAAACATTTTACCCTTCTTCTACAAAACGAAGTTTCTCCTTATTATTCTACTTTTTATATTTGAAAAGATGTAGACATTTATGAACGATAATACTTAATTTGATTTTCTTTCTAAAATGTCTTATACATTACGAATAGATGGAAAGTTGAGTTCGATTAGTATATAATAGAACGATAGAATTAAATGCAATTATCTTTAACAAAATTCACTATTGTCAAAGAGCAATAATTGTATTATATGAAAAAAAAGATTATAATCATCGAGTAGAAATGAGTGTTTCTTCTAAGTTCGAATTAAAATCTATTCATAAAAATTATCAATAGGATTTAATATGAATCAACCTTTGAGATTCGGCCCACGCAGATTTTGATCATTCTAACATCAATTAATATCGATAAGTTCATTTGAGAAGATTATTATTTCATCTTTCATATATAGTTTGTGTTTAGTCTATCTAATAAATAATTGAAAAAAAAACATTTAAGAATAATATGTCAAATTGAAATGAATATCTTAATTGGTACTTATTTCTTTGAATTTTAGATATGCGTTTCTTCATTATAAGAATGTTCAACAAGCTGCCAATGCTATCGAAAATGCTCAGCAATACAAGATCTATGGTCGAACATTAGTTGTTTCTTTTTATTCTAAGAACAATCGATTTGAATCAATTACAGAATGATTCATTGTTTATCACTTTTATATAATTTTAAATAAATAATTATTACCTGTTGTCGTTGCATATTTCACAATAAAGAAGGAGGTGTTTAAGTATCTATCTCATCTATATATATGTATATGAGAGAGCGTATGTGTGACGGTGTGGATGAGTAGAATCAAGTAATACTTATCACCCACACCCTCCAGATGGCATATACAACCATACAAGATTGCATATTGTAGTGATATAATATTAGTTTCTTCCGATGAATAACAAGTATATACCAAAATGACGAATTAGAAAGTTAGTTTTATTTCATAAAAAGCAAGAAAAATAGTATCACTCATGAAAAAACAAATTAGTTTATTAACAATTTGAAATGATTGTATTATGAGTAGAACATCTATTTATTATTATTATTGTGTCTCTATGATGACTTATCGTCAGCGAGTTTAGTCAATGCACAGATAATCAATGAATATCATGCAGCTATCTTTCCTGATAATAAATATCAATTATTTGTAGTACGTTTTGTTTTTAATTTAAACCAGAAGTCATGAAAATTGTGGTAAACTATTCTATTAAATGAAATTATTAACGAATATTTAATATATCTAAAATAAATATTATGATATAGATACAAAGAGTTATTATTTATTGAGTTCATTAAAATTCTCAGTGTTTATGTCGCGGATATTTGACTGTTATGAAGCATCAAAAACAATAATATTATCTTGTAGGTATAGAGCAACAACATTCTATAGTTAAAACATAGTTGATGATAATAGTTCAGCATCATCGATAATGAAATCGATATGGTTTCGATTCTATAACAATACGAAATAAACTTTATATACATAAAATTCCAAGTCTAAGTGACTTAAAACAGTTTCAAATAAAGGAATCAATATGTGAAAATATTTATGTATGTGTAGAAGAAGTAAAAAATTAGATATAGGAGTATTCAGTTTATATATTTTTTTAATAACAGATACTAGGTTAGAGAAAGAAACACAATTATATACTGATCTGTACCCACTTAAAGTTCCGTTTGAAAATATAGACTACAAAATATTGCATCTTACTAATATAAACCAAATCGATTATAGACTTCGTTTTTTCTTGGAAAAACGTTTAATTATATTTTCTAGTAAAACATATTCGTAAAAAAAGTAAAATTTGGTGACAGAGTCGAATTTTCTATTCTCGATTACTTGAGGGGTGGGTGTGGGCGTATATTTTGCTCTCATCTCACTTACACACCCACACACACTCAAGGACTCGTTCAAAAAGTAGCAATAGAAATGAATTTCCTTAATTTTAAACTTTTAAATTTTATTCATTAAATATCATTGAACAACTGAGAAAAAAAAG